ATACTGTGTAACAGCCAAGAGACACTGCTACAGTCACCGTACTGTGTAACAGCCAAGAGACACTGCTACAGTCACCTCACTGTGTAACAGCCAAGAGACACTGCTACAGTCACCGTACTATGTAACAGCCAAGAGACACTGCTACAGTCACCGTACTGTGTAACAGCCAAGAGACGCTCCAACAGTCACCGTTCTGTGTAACAGCCAAGAGACACTGTTACAGTCACCATACTGTGTAACAGCCAAGAGACACTGCAACAGTCACCGTACTGTGTAACAGCCAAGAGACACTGTTACAGTCACCGTACTGTGTAACAGCCAAGAGACGCTGCTACAGTCACCGTACTGTGTAACAGCCAAGAGACACTGCCACAGTCACCGTACTGTGTAACAGCCAAGAGACACTGTTACAGTCACCGTACTGTGTAACAGCCAAGAGACACTGTTACAGTCACCATACTGTGTAACAGCCAAGAGACGCTCCAACAGTCACCGTTCTGTGTAACAGCCAAGAGACACTGTTACAGTCACCGTACTGTGTAACAGCCAAGAGACACTGCTACAGTCACCATGCTGTGTAACATCCAAGAGACGCTGCAACAGTCACCGTACTATGTAACAGCCAAGAGACACTGTTACAGTCACCATACTATGTAACAGCCAAGAGACACTGTTACAGTCACCGTACTGGGTAACAGCCAAGAGACACTGCTACAGTCACCGTACTGTGTAACAGCCAAGAGGCACTGCAACAGTCACCGTACTGTGTAACAGCCAAGAGACACTGCTACAGTCACCATACTATGTAACAGCCAAGAGACACTGTTACAGTCACCGTACTGTGTAACAGCCAACAGACGCTCCAACAGTCACCGTTCTGTGTAACAGCCAAGAGACACTGCTACAGTCACCGTACTGTGTAACAGCCAAGAGACACTGCTACAGTCACCGTACTATGTAACAGCCAAGAGACACTGCAACAGTCACCGTACTGTGTAACAGCCAAGAGACGCTCCAACAGTCACCGTACTGTGTAACAGCCAAGAGACACTGTTACAGTCACCGTACTGTGTAACAGCCAAAAGACACTGCTACAGTCACCTCACTGTGTAACAGCCAAGATTCACTGCTACAGTCACCGTACTGTGTAACAGCCAAGAGACACTGCTTCAGTCACCGTACTGTGTAACATCCAAGAGATGCTGCAACAGTCACCGTACTATGTAACAGCCATGAGGCACTGCAACAGTCACCGTACTATGTAACAGCCAAGAGACACTGCTACAGTCACCGTACTATGTAACAGCCATGAGACGCTGCAACAGTCACCGTACTATGTAACAGCCAAGAGGCACTGCAACAGTCACCGTACTATGTAACAGCCAAGAGACACTGCAACAGTCACCATACTGTGTAACAGCCAAGAGGCACTGCAACAGTCACCGTACTATGTAACAGCCAAGAGGCACTGCAACAGTCACCGCAGTGTATAACAGCCAAGAGACGCTGCAACAGTCACCGTACTGTGTAACAGCCAAGAGACGCTCCAACAGTCACCTCACTGTGTAACAGCCAAGAGACGCTGCTACAGTCACCATACTGTGTAACAGCCAAGAGACACTGCTACAGTCACCGTACTGTGTAACAGCCAAGAGACACTGCTACAGTCACCTCACTGTGTAACAGCCAAGAGACACTGCTACAGTCACCGTACTATGTAACAGCCAAGAGACACTGCTACAGTCACCGTACTGTGTAACAGCCAAGAGACACTGCTACAGTCACCGTACTATGTAACAGCCAAGAGACACTGTTACAGTCACCGTACTGTGTAACAGCCAAGAGACACTGCTAAAGTCACCTCACTGTGTAACAGCCAAGAGACGCTCCAACAGTCACCGTACTGTGTAACAGCCAAGAGACACTGCTACAGTCACCGTACTGTGTAACAGCCAAGAGACACTGCTACAGTCACCGTACTATGTAATAGCCAAGAGACACTGCTACAGTCACCGTACTATGTAACAGCCAAGAGACACTGCTACAGTCACCGTACTGTGTAACAGCCAAGAGACACTGCTACAGTCACCGTACTATGTAACAGCCAAGAGACACTGTTACAGTCACCATACTGTGTAACAGCCAAGAGACGCTCCAACAGTCACCGTTCTGTGTAACAGCCAAGAGACACTGTTACAGTCACCATACTGTGTAACAGCCAAGAGACACTGTTACAGTCACCGTACTGTGTAACAGCCAAGAGACGCTCCAACAGTCACCGTTCTGTGTAACAGCCAAGAGACACTGTTACAGTCACCATACTGTGTAACAGCCAAGAGACACTGTTACAGTCACCGCAGTGTATAACAGCCAAGAGACGCTGCAACAGTCACCGTACTGTGTAACAGCCAAGAGACGCTGCTACAGTCACCGTACTGTGTAACAGCCAAGAGACACTGCTACAGTCACCGTACTGTGTAACAGCCAAGAGACACTGTTACAGTCACCATACTATGTAACAGCCAAGAGACGCTGCAACAGTCACCGTACTATGTAACAGCCAAGAGACACTGTTACAGTCACCGTACTGTGTAACAGCCAAGAGACACTGCTACAGTCACCATGCTGTGTAACATCCAAGAGACGCTGCAACAGTCACCGTACTATGTAATAGCCAAGAGACACTGTTACAGTCACCATACTATGTAACAGCCAAGAGACACTGTTACAGTCACCGTACTGTGTAACAGCCAAGAGACACTGCTACAGTCACCGTACTGTGTAACAGCCAAGAGACACTGTTACAGTCACCGTACTGTGTAACAGCCAAGAGACACTGCTACAGTCACCGTACTATGTAACAGCCAAGAGGCACTGCAACAGTCACCGTACTATGTAACAGCCAAGAGACACTGTTACAGTCACCGTACTGTGTAACAGCCAAGAGACGCTCCAACAGTCACTGTACTGTGTAACAGCCAAGAGACACTGCTACAGTCACCGTACTATGTAACAGCCAAGAGACACTGCTACAGTCACCGTACTGTGTAACAGCCAAGAGACACTGCTACAGTCACCGTACTATGTAACAGCCAAGAGACACTGTTACAGTCACCGTACTGTGTAACAGCCAAGAGACACTGCTACAGTCACCTCACTGTGTAACAGCCAAGAGACGCTCCAACAGTCACCGTACTGTGTAACAGCCAAGAGACACTGCTACAGTCACCGTACTGTGTAACAGCCAAGAGACACTGCTACAGTCACCGTACTGTGTAACAGCCAAGAGACACTGCTACAGTCACCTCACTGTGTAACAGCCAAGAGACACTGCTACAGTCACCGTACTATGTAACAGCCAAGAGACACTGCTACAGTCACCGTACTGTGTAACAGCCAAGAGACACTGCTACAGTCACCGTACTATGTAACAGCCAAGAGACACTGTTACAGTCACCGTACTGTGTAACAGCCAAGAGACACTGCTACAGTCACCGTACTGTGTAACAGCCAAGAGACGCTGCTACAGTCACCGTACTGTGTAACAGCCAAGAGACACTGCTACAGTCACCGTACTGTGTAACAGCCAAGAGACACTGTTACAGTCACCATACTGTGTAACAGCCAAGAGACACTGTTACAGTCACCGTACTGTGTAACAGCCAAGAGACACTGCTACAGTCACCGTACTGTGTAACAGCCAAGAGACACTGCTACAGTCACCGTACTATGTAACAGCCAAGAGACACTGTTACAGTCACCATACTGTGTAACAGCCAAGAGACGCTCCAACAGTCACCGTTCTGTGTAACAGCCAAGAGACACTGTTACAGTCACCGTACTGTGTAACAGCCAAGAGACACTGCTACAGTCACCGTACTATGTAACAGCCAAGAGACACTGTTACAGTCACCATACTGTGTAACAGCCAAGAGACGCTCCAACAGTCACCGTTCTGTGTAACAGCCAAGAGACACTGTTACAGTCACCATACTGTGTAACAGCCAAGAGACACTGTTACAGTCACCGTACTGTGTAACAGCCAAGAGACACTGCCACAGTCACCGTACTGTGTAACAGCCAAGAGACACTGCTACAGTCACCGTACTGTGTAACAGCCAAGAGACAATGTTACAGTCACCTCACTGTGTAACAGCCAAGAGACACTGCTACAGTCACCGTACTGTGTAACAGCCAAGAGACACTGCTACAGTCACCGTACTTTGTAACAGCCAAGAGACGCTGTTACAGTCACCATGCTGTGTGTAAATCATTATTTACGAATTGAGTCTGGGCGATGGGAAGATATTTGGTACAAAGAAAGAATTCTTTGTTTATTTTGTAAAAACTGTTTGTTTAAACAAAGTTTTTGAAGGTGAAGAACATTTTCTGTTGATATGTCCTGATAATGAGCCAGTATCTTTACGTTGTGAAAGGACATTTTAACGTTGTCGATATCATGAAATAACCACCAGGCATGGAAACTAGGTGCACACATCATTTATGGTTTCAATGCCTGAGAAAACGATTTAAAGCGACTATGATGTTAATTAATAGCATTTGTTCCTAACTTTTACTGTTTTAATGCATTGAATGTACAAAGGCAGACATTTCAACAATGTGTAAAGTATGGACAGGATGGCCTATATTTCGGAATAAAAACACACAGACATACAAACATAAAAGCACACAAACACACAGACATACAAACACACAGACATACAAACATAAAAGCACACAAACATACAAACACACAATCATCAAACATACAAACACAAATAACATACACACATACAAACATACAGACATACAAACACACATGCATACAGACACAAATATACAGACTTGCACAGATATACAGACATACAGACATACAAACACACATGCATACAGACATACAAATATACAGACTTGCACAGATATACAGACATACAGACATACAAACACACAGACATACAAACGCACAAACATACAAACATACAGTAAGATAACCGACCAACCTTGTATCGTCCTGCTTCCTCTCTGCCTGACCATAACATTGACATTCTGTTCAGTTTATATATCCTGGCAATATCGATTTTTTTTACATTTAAATGCGTCACTCAATTTTTAACTCGAAATATTACTTTTATCTCCACTTTGTTGCATATGTAATGAACATTAAAAGGAACGAAATCAAGTCAGAAATCTAATTTTGTCTTTAACTAGACATTGGTGTCATACTCCTGTCATACTGGTGTCTCCTGCGTGAATCTACTGCATACTTATCACATGCATCAATGTTCCTGCTTGACGGTGCCCGGGGCACACGTGGGCACTCCTGTGTTGTGCTATGTATAGAGCGTCGATCTTATATGATAGCGATCATGCTCTGCTTTTGGTTTTAGACAACTCTTTCTGCAACTACTTTATATTTTTTTTTGCGAATATGCTAAGACGCCAAGAAAAGCTTCCTTCTATGTGAGGTCGTTGTGTATTTCAAGTAAATATATGTTGAACCCTTGGTTATGTATTTCAAGTAAATATATGTTTCATCCTTGGTTGTGTATGTCAAGTAAATATATGTTGCACCTTTGGTTGTGTATGTCAAATAAATATATGTTGCACCCTTGGTTGTGTATTTCAAGAAAATACATGTTGCACCCGTCGTTGTGTATTTCAAGTAAATACATGTTACACGGTTGGTTGTGTATTTCAAGTAAATACATGTTGCACGGTTGGTTGTGTATTTCAAGTAAATATATGTTGCACGGTTGGTTGTGTATTTCAAGTAAATATATGTTGCACCCGTCGTTGTGTATTTCAAGTAAATACATGTTACACGGTTGGTTGTGTATTTCAAGTAAATACATGTTGCACGGTTGGTTGTGTATTTCAAGTAAATATATGTTGCACCCGTCGTTGTGTATTTCAAGTAAATACACGTTGCACCCGTCGTTGTGTATTTCAAGTAAATATATGTTGAACCCTTGGTTATGTATTTCAAGTAAATATATGTTTCACCCTTGGTTGTGTGTGTCAAGTAAATACGTGTTGCACCCTTGGTTGTGTGTGTCAAGTAGATATATGTTGCACCCTTGGTTGTGTGTGTCAAGTAAATACATGTTGCACCCTTGGTTCTGAGTGTCAAGTAGATATATGTTGCACCCTTGGTTGTGTGTGTCAAGTAGATATATGTTGCACCCTTGGTTGTGTGTGTCAAAAAAATATATGTTGCACCCTCGGCTGTGTGTGTCAAGTAAATACGTGGTGCACCCTTGGTTGTGTGTGTCAAGTAAATACGTGTTGCACCCTTGGTTGTGTCTGTCAAGTAAATACGTGTTGCACCCTTGGTTGTGTGTGTCAAGTAAATACGTGTTGCACCCTTGGTTGTGTGTGTCAAGTAAATAAATGTTGCACCCTTGGTTGTGTATTTCAAGTAAAAATATGTTGCACCCTTGATTGTGTTTGTCAAGTAAATATATGCTGCAACCTTGGTTGTCTATGTCAAGTAAATACATCATGCTCCTTTGGTTGTGTATGCCAAGTACATATGTTGCACCCTTGATAGTGTTTGTCAAGTAAATACATGTTGCACCCTTGGTTATGTTGGTCAACTAAGTATATGATACACTCTTGGTTGTGTGTGTCAAGTAGATATATGTTGCACCCTTGGTTGTGTGTGTCAAGTAAATACATGTTGCACCCTTGGTTATGTATTTCAAGTAAAAATATGTTGCACCCTTGATTGTGTTTATCAAGTAAATACATCATGCTCCTTTGGTTGTGTATGCCAAGTACATATGTTGCACCCTTGATAGTGTTTGTCAAGTAAATACATGTTGCACCCTTGGTTATGTTGGTCAACTAAGTATATGATACACTCTTGATTGTGTTTGTCAAGTAAATATATGTTGCACCCTTGCTTGTGTTTGTCAAATAATATATGCTGCACCCTTGGTTGTGTATGTCAAGTAACCACGTGTTGCAATCGTGGTTGTGTTTGTCAAGTCTGAATGTAGAAAGCTCATTCTTCCGAGAATGCCTTTGACAAGACAAGTCACGCCCTTTTTGTGGTTCGGCAAATGAGAAGTCAGTGGTTGTGGACAAGTCAAAGTCTGTTGATGTGAGAGAGGAGTACTTTCCTTTTGTTAGTAAAGGTTTTGTGTCAGTTAAAGGTGACAATAGCAATTTTAAGCCCGTTACCGTTTAAAATGATACTTGTGCTCTTCAAACTCTGATATTGGATGGTATTGGTTGGTCAAGTTGGGGGTTGTTTCACGTGTAGACTTGCTAATGGGAATGATTTGACAGGGGGAAAATGTTTGGCTGATCCTGTTGTTTGTCTTGAGCAAACACTTCGGAAAGTCCTGAAAATCTTGAAAAAGAAAATGCAGGTATTTTTCCTTCGTGTGTTGTTGCTATGGCAAAACAAAGTACTTCTGAAAATGCTTCAACAAGGTTTCCTAGGCTCTTTCTTTATGGAAGATTACAGCTCAGGTTATTATCAAGGCATTGGTAAAGTACGTCACCATGATTGGTTTGCCTAAGACCATACAGTCAGATCAGGGCTCTAATTGCATGTCAGGAGTTTTCCAATAGGCTATGCACCAGTTAGGTGAGTGAGTGAGTGAGTTGGGTTTTACACCGCTTTTAACAGTATTCCAGTTATATCACTGCATGTCAGCTTAATGTGGGAGGAAAGCCCGAAGTGATGCAGGTCTCAGATACCAGTTAGGCATAACACAGATAAAGTATAGTGCATATCATCCTGATTCTCAAGGAGCATATGCATAAGAGAGGTTTCATCAGACTCTTCAGAATATGATAAGAACTTACTGTTTTGAGACAGAAGGATTGGGGTGAAAGCATTCATTTGTTTTTGTTGGCTGTGAGGGAGTCAGTTCAGGAGTCCCTGGGTTTTAGTCCTTTTGCCTTTAGCCATACAGTTCGTGGAGCCTTAAAGCACTTCAAGGAGCATTGGCTTAATGATATGTCTGAAATGAGTTTGTTTGAGTATGTATCATCATTTCGGTCATGGTTGTCAAACGCTTGGTAGTTGATACGGACAAAATGGTCAACCATTACGTGCTAGGTACCACGGTCCAAATGTTACTGACAGAGAAATCAGTAATTCTGACTTTGTCATACAAACAGCAGACCGTTGTAAAAGACACAGCTTTGTCATGTCTATATGATTAGAAAGTATCATGAAAGAAATTACATTGGACCTACTCAGTGTGTTGCCACTGTTTCTCCTACGCATATTGCATCAGGCTGTGATGCTGATGATAATTAAGAGTTTGTCAAGTGTGATGGCATTGCTGATTATGCGAGCCCTAACTTAACATTTCTAAAGTGTTAGCTAACTTGGATGCTAAGTTAAGTCATTTGTCATCTGACCAAAACACCCAAGTGTCAGAGTTAATTGAAGAGTTTGCTCACTTGTTAATGGATGTACCTGGCCATACAGATTTGGTGTGTAAACATATTTCATGATGTAGATGTGGGTGACGCTGTGCCTCTGAAACAACATTCCTACCGGATGAATCTCATCTGGCTAAAGTTCTGAAGAAGGAGATTCAGTACATGCTGGAAATGACATTACAGCCAATCTTGTGGGTGTCGAAGCCTACGTTGACGTCATCAACCATTCAATATTGTGGGACAACATCTGAAGAAAATCTCTGCGTTCTTTAAGTAACTGGCACTCGTGAAGAGCAACCTCCTCGTGGTGAGTGCTGGATAGCGCTATTAGCTCTTCCCCCGTGTGGAACCGGGGTAGAATATTTCCACAGCACCCCATTGCTGGTCGTAAGAGGCGACCAAAGTGGGCAGCCTGTTTGCCGTGGGTTGCGTCCCTGTGTCGGCGGAGGACGGGAGTCTGGTAGTTGAGGGCACTGGTTCCTGGAACTGTGTTCCTTTGCCCAATACACTACTTCGACCCTTACTTCGCCTAGACGGGTGGTAAGATGGGCCCGGTCTTATCAATCGGCTGGTCATGCCAGGCCCTGTGCGTAATATTGTATATGCATACCCGTGTTGTATTTTCATGTCTATTTTGGTCTTGGCCGTGCATAACTTGTATGAGTTCTCAATTTTTGATTGAATAAATTGCCTAGAGTCTTACGCCAGAAGGCGGTGGCTCATGGGCCAATCTGGTGATGTTGACCTCCAAATTCAGTATGTATCCGATTACTTGTCATGGGCCGAACCAGCCTGGCATTTAATTTGGTATACAAATATTGCTATTTGCGTCATACTTGCTGGAGTATATCATCCCTGTATCCCTGGTGTTTGCATGTTGGAGATCCGGTGCAACACAACATCGCTCTTTGTGGCACTCCATGGTGGGTGGGGAGCAGGGGTGCTGAATTACTATATTTCACCATGTCGCACAAATACCCTGGTTCAACCCGTTCAAAACGTAGACATGTCGATCTTGATGACATTGATCAAAATGAACAATTATCTCGTGGCTTTGATTCATGGGCTCGCTTTATTGTGATTGAGGCAGCTGACAAACAACCCATTAAACTTAATCCATTCGCCATTTCCAAAGCTGTCTTAGGAATTTGCGGCGAAGTGAAGAATGTGACACGTCTCCGTAGTGGCTCTCTTCTTGTTGAGTGCTCACAGAAGCAACAATCTCTCAACTTGTTGTCCATAACCACATTTGCCAATATTGAGGTTGATGTGTCCCCTCATAAAACCTTGAATTCTTGCTGAGGCATTGTTCGAGACAGAGCTCGTTGTCTGTCCGACATGTCAGAGCAAGAAATTGCAGACGAATTAAAATCTCAAGCAGTGACAGGAGTTAAACGTTTTACCATGAAATCTAGAGACGGAAACATCATCCCGTCCAACACTTATTTGCTTACTTTTACTCTTTCAGCACTACCTACGTCAATCAAAGCTGGTTATCTAAACATCGGAGTGGAGGTGTATGTCCCCAATCCACTCCGGTGTTTCAAGTGCCAAAAGTTTGGACATGGCTCCAGATCTTGTGCTCACTCAGTGGTCTGTCAGCGCTGTGGTGCCAGTCATGACAGCACCGACTGCTCAGCAGAAATAAAATGTTCGAACTGTAAAGGACAACATCTGGCCTCGTCCAGGTTATGCCCCGAATGGCTTCAACAATCCAAAATCCTGAAGCT